CCTAATATGAAAATAAAATAGGAATGTAGTTAAGTGATTCTGAAGTTAGAATGGTGTTAATATAACAAATGATCGGATTTGAACATTTTAATAACGAATTCTGTACCTTGATATTTCCCATACTTTTAAATGGTTTATACCTTAAAATCAAGCTCGATTGCCACAGAATCTTATAATGTGCGTGTGTGTGTAAAAACTAGTTTATAAAATCAATGTTACATTAACTGGTATTCTACAAATAATTGTACCGTAAAAAAAAAATGAAAACAAATCCTAATCTATTGCAATTCATTCTTGCATTTAATGACAGGAAAATACCACAACATCGACTGACCTTTTATAAGAAGGGGGTGAACATAATTATTGATTTTGTTATATTTAACCCCCTAGTGACATACTTAGAAATTATACTGAAAGCATATGCACAGCTCTTTACCATCTGTGGAGTTCCAAATGTTTTAATTATCTCTGGTGGGTCGGCAAAACGTATTTTCTGTTGTTTCATTTCTATCTGTACTTGGAGATTTATTAGGAAAATCTAAAATCTAAATTCAAGCAGATATCGAGAAATAGAGAATTACGGCTGTTGATTGATTCCTCCCAGGAAAAAAAATTCTGGTGTGAACATCATAACTAAACAAGTTTAGAAAATACGAATTTTTCAAATAATTATTTCATATATATATATATATATATATATGCACCAGTAAGTGGTGTTTTGTTTATTATTTTAAACCTTGGCACTTTTAAATATTGATAGCTTCGCTCAAGAGGAATTTATATATCCCAATGATGATAAATTGGTCTTCAACATTGATCATATCTCCTCTTCCTAAAAGCATTTGTATCTCACTCGGTGTAAAGTTGCCTTTCACTAACATTTTGTAGAAGCAAGTCACGTGTAGCTAGCTTTTCCCCTTGAGCACCTCAAAAGCGCTATCAAACAGAGTCTCATCAAAAATATGAATTTGTATTGCTTTTAACATCTCAAACGAATTCCAGGATCTTGCTGATTATAGCACATTTCCATTTTTCTTAACCAATCAAACTAATACTCCTCATTATTAACTTAGATTGTAACGGTAACCAGACGCTCTAAATTGTAAACATATGCACCAGTTTTAAGTTGTTTAGTTCTTCCTCTTCGATAAGGCTGATAATGTACAACAACTTGCATAAGAAGAAACGTCATCTAGTGGTAGTGTTATTGATAAACTAGCTCCCTTATGAATGCAAGAAATATAATTTTTGTCATCTTCTTTTCGTGATTTATTTACCCACAGAAATGTAAGACGTGATTTTTAAAACGTTTCGCAAAAAAAAAATATAAGCGTGTGTGTAATTTTCTAAAACTTAAAACAACTTGCGTGGTATGTATAAAAATAGATCATGTGTGTATAACTTACTATAACTAAGTACACACATTTCTTTTGGGAATTATGGTACGAAATGGAGACGTGCATATTTTAAAATTCTGCCTAAAATTTTTAAAATACCAACAAAAGTGAAGAAAAATGTTCTTTCGTTCAAATATTGTTAACGGAAATGCAACTCCAAGTACACTTAACATATCTACCTTCTTATTACCGGTTTAGCTGAAATCAGTGATTAGTTTGATGAAACATGAAACGTCAGAGAAAGAAAAAGTGACTTGCTAAGCCAATGCTTGATAACTTATCGCTTCATGAAAGCAAACAAAATGAACAAAGTGATAACTTAAAAACATAAATAACAACACTACTTTAAAAATATATAGGGCACAAGAAATTAAACGTATGGTCAACGTAACAATTATAAAATAGACTTACCTTTAACAGTTTAAATTTAACAAACATAAAAGTTTCAAAATAACACGAGATTTACCTTCTTTTCAATTTTCTTAGTTGTTGGAAAACTAAATCTCAACCGTTTGATTTGAATGAATGTGGAGGAACGAGGTTCTTTAGAATATACTACATACACGTATTTAACTGGTGTGCTTTAAAACTCCCAATTTGTACGGAGCTCACGCCCTGTACGTTCTATACATTGGAGTTATTCTGTTTCTAAAAACAAGGGCACATCATGAACGAGAGAGAGATACCACGTTTACTGTGTCACACGTTACGGGCACGCGAACATTATTAGCCAATCAAACGGCTTTTCAAGTAAAAGGTTATTTAAATTAAATAGCAGTCGGGAAGTAACGAAGGAACTAGAAGGGGGAACGCACACAAGTTGACCGAGAATTATCATAGTGGCTGCAGTAAAAACTAGGTAATGGATCAAACTAATAAATATAGCCTACCGACGGCGTGTTAATATTAAGACAAATCAATGCAAAATTCTTATTAATTTGTAATTAACGTGAATTTTTTGCTAACATATTTCAAAATAAATAGTGTTAAAATTTTATCAGTATTTTTGGCGTAGGAAGCGGAATAGCCCGAGATCCCACTTTTCAATCTGTTCCAGTAGAAATGCATCAAAATTAGGAAAGTTACTCTCAGGAAAAGCAGGAGAATGCATAAGATTTAATCCAAAATCGAGCCCTGAGTCACCCCGGCCGTAATGGGTACGCCTATGGCGCACATTTCCTTGCTTCACTCGGTCAAATAAACCTTGCCTCCCTACTTTTAATTTGCCTCTTACACCTGAGTATTATTTTTAACTTAAGAAATGTTTGCGAACAAAACTTAAACGTCAAAATGGGTCGATGATACTGTTGCGTACCAAAAGTAAAATGACTGGTGAGAACACAATGAGGTACAAGTTTCCGGAGGATAAAACAATAGGTATGTTGTGGATTCGTTAAATTCGAAGAGATCTAAGAACGGATATTCAACATACATGCAACACAAAAAAATGCTAAACACATTTCAGATCGAATGCTTGTATAACACCAATACACGATTTCTGACTGGTCAGTATATATGCATGAGATAAGCAACTTAAAGCTTCATCATTTATTTGAAATCTTTCTTTTCAAATCAAACTGCAGCAAAGATTATTTTCAACCACTAGTGAAATAATTAATCACATTAGTGTTAAGCTTATTATACTAATTACTACTAATGTCTTATTACCAGTATGATTGATTATCACAACGCTTCGCCGTTGAGAAAAGGCGTTATCACCATAACAATGTATATTGTTACGACAGCGGAAGTCACATGACACTAGTAACACGTCATGATATTCTCGAAGGCTCGTGAATGCTCGAGTGTTTACTATATGTGTGGTATTCTTGTATATAAGACCGCCAAGAAGTGACGGCAACAGGGGGAATTGAATTGCAGACATAGATAGAGACGAACAATTGAGTCAAGCGCGTGAATCATTCGTTGTCAATTATAGCGTTTGTTTAAGTTATAGCGTGACTGTGGAAATTAAGTGTATTGCAAAGTTGTATTGAGAAAGAATAAACTAGTTTTATTTAAGAAAGGACTTGTATCGCTAAAGTTTCTTCAGAAATAATTTTTAAGGAAAATTAACAAACGAACAGAGACATAACAAATTGATGTCAGAGAGTGGAACGGAAAATAAAAAAAAGAAAAG